TGGCATTAAATGCTGCCATTTTCAAGATCTTGATTCTCTTATTTAACCATGCTACCTCTCTGGATAGTTTACATATACCAGCATACTCACAAATAATCAATAAGGATATGAATGATTTGAATATGACTAATGAAGTTGGCCTGACATGTATGTGTGCATAATATAGATATCTGTCTATAAACATAAACAGATTGATACATATAGACAAATATAGATTGGCACCCAGTGCAGCTTCAGAATACATATTTTGCAAAGTATACATGGAACATTAAATCAGACATCAAAAAATTAGACCATAATTTTGACCATAGAGTAAGTCTCAAAAAAGCAAAATCAAAACAAATCAAAAGAATGATATACAGAATATGCTCTCTGACCATTTGGGTATTAATCTGAAAAACAAAAACAAAAAGATAACTAGAAGGGTCCCTGTACGTTCGGAAATGAAAGGTCACATTTCAAATAACCATGGGTAAAAATTAAACCACAACAGAAATCATAAGAAATTTTGATCTGAATTGTAGATACCCAGTGTAGATACCCCAGCAGTTAACCTTGCTGTAATTTAGTTCCTGCTTAAGCTTAGTATACAGCTGAAACTAATCTAAGAGAGAAGAACAATAGGTGCTGCGTGTTGGAATCTGGTGCAAGTCATGAGCGGTGTGATGAGTACTGCAAACAGTTCTCGTGAACCTTTCCGAGGCAATCCCAGATGAGGATCACACCGTGAGGCTCACGTGGCCGGATGACTTGATGAGACGTAAGAGAAACTTTAAGAAGTGATTAGTTTGCAATAATTTAGCTTGATGAAAAAACTCATCCTGTAATCATTAATCGATGCGTGTCTTTTTACTTGCTGTAACTTAATAAAAGCGCAGGGGAATGCTGACTTGGGGCTTAGTCTCTGCTTAAAGTTTAAGCCCTCTGCTTAAAACGTCATTCTGACTCGGTTTCTCATTTTTGCGGTCCCTGACTGCAACACTGAATGTGACTAAAAATGCTACATATCAAAACTTGTGGGACATAGGTAATGTATAATTTTACAGGAATTTTGTCTTAAAAGTACATATCAGGAAACAAAGCCAGAGAATCCACTACCTATACATTCACATTGAAAAATTAGGAAAAAAAAACAAAAAATGAAATCCCAATAACAGAAAGATGGAAATAACAAAAATAAGACCTGAAACTAAAGAACTAGAAAACAGTAACAGGATCAATAAGAGCAAAATGACTCTTTGGAAAGATTAATAAAATGAATAAACTACTGGCGAAACTACTAAAAAAAATAGAGAGAAGACACAAAGAGCACCAGAAATAAAAAAGCGAACATTGTTACAGATCCTAAGGCATTTAAGAGACAAAAGATATTATTAACAACTTCATCCCAATAAATTATTTAGATGAGAGAGCTGGGAGAGACTAGTGCATGTGTTCTCTTGTGTTCCTATGTTTTGCTGAATGTGCCAAAAATGCGAGACCCTTACTAGTCTTCACCTAAGCCATTTCCCTGGGCAATGTTCCTAGTGAGCAGCCTTGAGATAAGAGGTAATGCCTCCCTCAAGGACGAAGAACAGGCTTGCTTATTGCTGGCTATAAAAGTGGTGGATTCAAGGTCAGTGTTCCTCAGATGTGACACAAACTCACTGCATGTGCAGCACCTACCTGGGCTTCTTCATGTCACCCCCATGGGTCTTGGGAGCAAGAGGAACCAATGCAAAAACATTGGTGGTAGTGCTGCTTGTAGAGCGAAGTCCTTTGTTTCTGATCCAGGAGTTTTGTGTCTTCTGTCAGCCTCCATCAAGACTAACAGTGGCAGACTAATTTATTAGATGATAAGTGGGGTAAAATCAAATATCAGACCTCACTGAATGGATAGGTGGGACTTCTAGTGATGGTGGACTGAAGATATCATCAAATTTTCTTCCCCCTGAACAAATACAGACTGGACAAAATCATCAAAAATAATCACTTGAGGGCTCTGGAAACTGACCAATGACAAACAAGAAATTTAGAGATTATTTACTGATTTTTAAAACCCTGCTGAACTTTGGGTAGCAGTAGAGGGAGTCTGTGGCATTCTTTCCAGAAGCTGCTCTCATCTTCCAAACCCACATATCTCAGCTGGTGCAACAGTACTACCGAGATGAGGCCACAGTGTGAGCCAGGAGCCCCACTGCTGGAGGGGCCACCCTGCCGCGGAGTGGACAGCAAAAAGTCCATACCTAGTGGTGTTGTCAATAATCACAAACTTGGCAGGAAATAAATGGGGAAAGCCCGCAGCTCTGTTAGGCTGAAGTTGTGGTCTCACATGAGGTGAGATGACCAGTGGACTAGCTAAAAATTTAACAGGGAGAGCCTGGAAATGAGCCATTGAGGGTCAAGATAAGCTCTTCACACATTTCTGCTTGACTGGGAGGCTACCTATTACAGGAAGGAGACACAAGCCTGCCCCTGTCGATACTTGTGTTTGAATCCTGGTGCTAACACTAATTGTGTGACCTGGGGCAAATTAATTTAATGTTTAGGTACTTCAGTCCCTAAATCTGTAAAATAGGAGAAAAACATTGTTGAAAAGAGTAAATCAATTATATAGCATGAATTTAGAACACAGTACACAGCAGGCACATAGTATTGCAAAAGTGTTTACTATTATTATTTCTTGAAATGTGGTATAATACCTGCATCAGAATTATTTGGGGGGATTCCAAGATTCACTCTGGACCTACTGAATCAGCTTCAGGGTCGGGAGAATTAACCTGAGAAAGATCAGTTTTACAGGTACACTAGGGGGTTCTTATACCATCAGTGATTGAGAACTACTAGGTTCATGTAAATATAATTTTCTGTTTGGGGCCTGTGTCCACATGCCTTAAGGGCAGAAACTATCATATGTACTTTTGTATTCCCATTGTGTAGCACACAGTAGATGTTTAGTCAAACATCTACTGCATAGTAGAAAGTTCACAAATGCAAGCTGAAGAGACAGAGGAAGCACCACACCAGATTGTTGGAATTAACAGGAATTTAAGTTATGGATTATTTTCTAAAGGATCTAGCAGATGGCATGCAGATGGGAAATATAAGCAGAGACACAGAAATCCTAAGAAGAAATAGGACTTCTCTGCAAAAGTTGCTCTTCACAGCAGACCGGGACACCCAAGATCATTCGTGTATCCAAAAGTAGGGAGGGGGTCTGGACCTTGGGACAGTGACAGCCACAGTGGAAATGGCAGTGGCTCTGTGGCTGCCCCGGTAACCATGATAACTGCAGCACAGGGGATCCTAGCAGAGGAGGAAGAAAATGCAAGTGGTGAGTGACAGTCACCTGGCCCTGTGGCTGCAGCTGGAGGGTCCCGTTGCTCTTTAGCAGCACCTGGATTTCTGAGGCGCAACCTCCAGAACTTAGGGGACAGAAAAGAAGGGAAATGAAGCGAGTGAACAAAGGAAGCTGTTTCCTGCTCTTCCCTGGGATTTTAGCAAGAGGTCTGCCCATGGATTCTGGGTCTCCCCCAGGCCAAGGTACCCCGAGTGGGCCCCTGGCACACTCGAAGCCCCATGTGCTGAGCGCACACCTTCCCCCACTCTGCTGCCACCTCCGTTTTTCAATAGCTTTTTTATGCGTGGATTCCCAGCCTTAAAGTCAAGACAGCTCAGGTGAGAGAAATTTTTTTTAAAGTGCTTTACTGCCACCTTCTGGAAAACAAAAAAGAGGTTTCTAGTTGCGCACCTGTTGAGCTCTTAGAATCAAAGTAAACAAGACTTTCGTAAGTAAGAAAGCTATTTGCTACTTCCAATGTGGCAGCACAGGAACATTCCATCAAACGTTATGAAAAACTTATGGTGATAGAGTATCACAAAAAGAAAATGACAATTCTCCTGCAACAGAACTCAAAGATATGGAATATTGCAAGCTAACAGATAAAGAATTCAAAATAGCCACAGTTAGAATGGTTGTTGATATGTCAGAACCTCTGACATTTTATCTTTCACCTTCTGCTTTATCTCCATTGTGTCTGAGAAAGAAAACTGAAAAAGGCAGTTCAATGAACTCAGAAATAAAAATCAATGAACAAAAGTACTTTGCCAAAGATACTGAAATTCTAAAAAAGAATATGGAAATTCTGGAGCTCAAGAACTCAACAGATTAGATGAAGGATATTAGAAAGCACTGGACATAGAGCAGATTGGATAGAAAAGAGAAAAAGTCATTTGGAAGCCAGGGACTTAGAAATGATACCGGTAGAAGAGAGAAATGAGGTTTTTAAAAGGTGAAGAAACCCTACAAGAGTTGTCCGACTTAATAATAAAGTCAACAGAAAAATAATGAATGTCCAAAAGCCAGCCCAGGATGAGTGGGGGAGACAGGACCAGGCCCCAGCCTGGGTGGAGCTGCTCAGTGGAGTCCCAGGGTACGTGGCCTCTCACCTGACGTGGCTGATGATGAGGTTGGTTGGGGGAATGAAGAAATCGTCCACTCCCGTGAAGGGGGTGTGGATAAGGTGCTGGCCCTGGCCAGTGCTGGCTTCTGTGATCACCTGCAGCACACAGAGGGAATCCTTGTGAGGGCCCATCCAAGTAGGGGGCTGCTGAGGAGAGATGACAGACGAGCTTCAGTCCGGGGGAGGGGCAGGAACAAACTGGGAGCTGCCTGGGAAGGTCATGGGTGGGGGACCCATCCTCCCCGGGCGGGGTCGTGGTGGGACAGAAGTGAATACCCAAAGCCCTCCCTCCTGCTCTGTCAGGCCTGACCCTTGACCCTGCTGCGTATTGTCAGCCCGTGGTGGCAGAGCAAAGGCTTGCAGAGACTGCGTTAGGGCTGCCGAGGGAGGTTCCTAGAACCGAAACATCCTCTGCTCAGAGACAGCCGGCCTCCCCGTCAACAGAGAAATCCCACCTTCTCAACCTCTAGGCTGCCCTGGAAAAAAGGAGAGAGCTCTTAAATAATGAAAATGTTAAATGGAATAATTTACTGGCTCTTTATTTTCCTGTGATTGCAGGTACCTGGGCCCGTTCGCTGGGAATCTCTCATATGCTGCTCACAGAGGTGTTCTGAGAACTGCAGCCCCATCGCTTATCAAGAAGGCAGGAATCCTGCAGGGCGCCATTCAGCTATCTTTCACTATCTCTTCTTCCTCCTCCCAAGCCTGGCAGCCATTAATGTACTCGGGTCTCTTTGGATTTTACCTATTCTGATAACGTCTATAATATGTGTTCTTTTTGGATTGGCTTTTTTTAAATCTAGCATAATGTTTTATTGTGATAACTTTATTATCAGAGTTAATCCATGTTCTAACATGTGTCAGTCCCTTTTATTGCATTCATTCCTTTTTGTTGCTGAATGTACTTGATGGTCATTAGGGTTTTTCCACACTTTTGCTTAAGAATAATGCTGCTGTGACCATTCATGGGCAAGTTTATTGTGATTATATGTTTTCAGTTCTCTTGGATATATACCTGGAGTAGAATTGACTCATAAAAACATTTTTTAACGTTTTGAAGAGTACCTGAACTTTTCAAAGTGGCCATGTTTTACATGCTGACCAGAAATGTGTGAGGAATTTAATTTTTCTGTATCCTTGCCAATACTTGCTATTTTGTCTTTTCGATTATAGCCATTTATTCCACATAAAAATGAAATGTGATTTAACTAGTTATTTTCTTCTCATAGAGGCACTTTTCTGGAGATGTGCGATGATCTCTTAGCTAGAGTGGAACCACCACTTCGTAGTGTTTTGGAACAAGCCAGTAAGAATTTTTGTGATTGACTTGTGTATTAGACTCCTTGGAAAATATTATTTATTTAGTTACACAAATTTTCATTGTATGAACTACTTCAGTGCCATATTAATCTTCTTTTTATCTGTATCTTCCCTCTACCTTTGCCCCAGTAATCTTTTGATAATAAAATCCAGTGAAATCTAGTAATTTTCCCAAGAAACCTAATTCAGACTCAGAGATGGATATAAACATGTAATTTCATGGTGGTTATAAATTGTCTTTTGTTATGCTGTGTAGTAGTCTTGCAGGCTTTTCTGTCAGTGAATCCTTTGCAGAATGAGAAATACAGCAGAGGGTGGATATGATACCACATAGTTGAATGGGATGCTTTAATTTTATCTAAGGCTATATAAATGGTGGAATGTTTTTTTAATTTGTAATTTTTTACTTGAAGTATAGTTGATTCACAGTATTGTATTGGTTTCAAGTATGCAACACAGTGGTTCAGCAGTTATCCACATTATTAAGTCCTTACCCCATTAGTGCAGTTACTATCTGTCAACCTAGAAAGATGTTACAGAACCATTGGCTATATTCTCCATGGTGTACTACCATCCCAGTAACCAATTTGTAGTATGATTGAGCTTTCTGTGGGTAGAAGTTTGATTTAGGAATATATTACTAATTTTCCCAAAACCTTCAACTAGCATTTACTTGGAGACCACTGTTGTGTTGGGTGTTCTTTCAGAGTCTTGGGATTTATTGTCATCTTAACACAGGCTCAGCTTGTAAATCAGAGTGATTATGGCATAAAGAATGAACATGTTCTTTCCATACTGGGAGAGCCCATTTTTTAAACAGCCCTCAACAGATTGTTGGGTTTATTGCATAAAACACGACCTGGAAACCAGGTGGTATTAAGAAGTACTTTATGAGTGACAGCAGAGCCTTGGGTGTACCTTCTTCCTTACGATAGGAGGAGACTAAACCTGCATTCGAATCTGGACTGGTTGGAGTGCTGCAGTGGCTAGGTGTGCTTCTGAATATCCCTTTTTCTTTCATACCCTGTTGGGGTAACCCAGGAGTTTGAGGCCCTCTTATTTTGCTTTATGGCTGGCTTAACTACTGAAGTTTTAACAGTTCTTTGTGGAGGGCCTGTATGCTGCAGGACCTTGGGTATTCTTGGCTGCTCCCATTATTTAGAGCAGCAAGATACACATTTTTCCAGATGCGGCATACCTGTGCACAAGTGTGCGTGTACATGCATGTTGTGAAGGGGCTAAAGGAATGGTAGGGTTTTGTTAGCATCTGAGTTATTTTGTTGTGATAAGATGTTCAATTGCTCTTATTTCATTGTAAAATACTGATTTAAGGATTCTTTTAACCTAATTGCCTTTTCTAATCATTTAAGAGTTAAAGAAAGAAGATATTTATGCAATGGAGATAGTTGGTGGTGCAATACGAATCCCTGCAGTGAAAGAGAAGATCAGCAAATTTTTGGTAAAGAACTTAGTACAACATTAAATGCTGATGAAGCTGTCACTCGAGGCTGTGCATTGCAGGTGAGTTTTTTTTCACAGGTAGCCATCTGGTCATTGTAACAAGATCGCAGTGACTTTATGTATTCCACTAATAATCTGAGATTAGTTCAAGTTGATCTCAAGGTATGAAGTTGAAAGTTTTGTTATAAAATAGATATCAGAGGTTGGCATTCATAGATGGAATGTACTCTATAATGTGCAATAAAATGAATTAATTTACTAGAAACATAGGTAAGCCTGAAATGCTACTTGAATTTGGCATATTATCTATTATTTACATATGGTGTTGTACATAATTAAATAAATGTTGGGGTTAAATGGAAAAATGACAAAGAAGAGCTAGATTATATAGGTAATTTGACAAATGGTAGAAGCTGAAACCGCTTATACAGAGAGCATTAAATTTTTAATATAAATATTTAAAGCCATTGGTGATGGTCATATGAAAACATTATTTGTAGGTCTTGTGATATCATTCATAATGTCTGTGCTTTTTTCAAAAGGAATTTTAAATTATTATTCTAGTGTGCAATCTTATCACCTGCTTTCAAAGTCAGAGAATTTTCAATCACTGATGTGTTACCATATCCCATATCTCTGAGATGGAATTCTCCAGCTGAAGAAGGCTCAAGGTAGCAATGCTTATTAATCATTTTTATACTTAAAGTTAACTCTGTTAAGTTTGAGTAAAATATTTTCTTCTATTTCAACCTGTATATTTTATATAAGTTTGTAGAAATCTATAACATTTTGTTACAGTGCATGAAGCAAAGTGATTAGTTATCAGAATAAATTTATGTTCTTACATAGTATCCTATACTTGATCCTCCTGAAAGAATTGGTGTCTTTTATGTGCTGATTGAACTGTATTCCCTTTCTAAAAAACCGACTTTATATACGTATATATTGCCCCTGCTTTGCAGAACTCTCATAATCTGGAAATGATGCTGGTTGAGAAGAGTAACTAGAGCTATACAACAATTACAAACCTAGGATATATGGAAAAGTATTAGGATATTTTAAATTTGTGTGTGTTGTCTTTTTCCTCCACTCAGTGACTGTGAAGTCTTTTCGAAAAATCATGCTGCTCCTTTCTCTAAAGAACTCACATTTTATAGAAAGGAACCTTTCACTCTTGAGGCATATTATAGCTCTCCTCAGGATGTGCCCTATCCAGACCCCGCAATAGGTAAGTAGAGTTGGGAATTACAAAAAGGAAGTTATGTGTACTTGGGAGAACTGGAATAGCAGAGCAAGTACAATATCCCAAAATGTGGGTATTATAGATCAGAAAAAATCCCCTTCTTCCAGTCCTGTTACCAGTTCAGAACCAGCAGGATGGTCATTATTTAATTAGATATCCTATTGTGTGGTCAGTATTTCTTGGTTAATGCACATTG